TAAAAGTAGGGTCAAATACGTTTTACTTTGAAACCTGTTCAACTACTGGGTACGTAAGAATAGTGAGAAAATTTTCAATCAGTCGCCATTTTTTTTAAATTAAAATTTTCAAAATTCCTTACGTGCGACGATAACTACATCCTTACTGATTAAAAAGCAATTTGGATTTTTATTTTCAGATGATCCGTTTTTGAGTTATCGAACCGACCATGGAGGGGGAAATTTTTTCTAGTGTTCTACGAGATTGTTAATAACTTTGTAATAATTAAATATTTTTTAATAAAAATTTAGCGTAATCATCTTTAATGTACCCTTAATAAAATAAAAAAAATCCGATCCCCAAATTCCTTCATTTTCCCTGTCAAAAAAATTCCCGAAAATCACCTCTTTTTTTCGATCGTCACAGTGGTGTTCCCCCTTAATTTTTCACCCAGATATGGTCCAAAATGGGGTTGACTTTACTTGTAAATAATTATCAAAAAATTTTTACACCCTTCTGGCATATTTGTCACGTTATTTATAAAATTATACCATACTAATTTCCAATAAAAATTTGTAGGAAGTGGACAATCGCCAAATTCAACCCACCCGGGTTCACCACCTGCAATAACAGCTCCACCACCAAATTTTATGAACTGCAAGCGCCCTGGATATTACCAAGGTAGTGACGGAATTCAGACGAAGAAACCGCGTATATCTCATTACCGTAAGCCGGAGCCGCCGATTAGAACGCCATCTTCAGCGAACAGTAACAGCAGTTCCGGGAACATTGTAAATAATAATACCAGTGTCAGTGTCCACAGTGGTAATAATTTATCGAGTAGCCACAATAGTAATATTAATAATAATAATAATAATAATAATAATAATAATAATAACAATCATAATAATAATAATAACGATGTAAATAATTGGAATGAACAGCGACAGCAATCGAGTGACCGTGATATTAATTATCATCGATCTGAAAGAACATCTAACAGTGATGTGTTACGTGGTAATAATAATAATAATAGTTATCAATTAAATGTTAATAATAATAATAATAGTAAATCATCTTTCACACCAAATCGTGACCGTGATGAGTTAATTAGTAATAGCAATAGTAATCGCACTGCCTCGTCTTCAGCAGCCGCTTCTTCTTTATCATCTTCATCGGCAATGATGCTCTCGTCGGCCTCGACGTTCAATGCCGCTAAATATGACTCCAGAGGTCACTGTAATAGCAGCCCTAGCGCAGGTGTCAATAATGGTTCCAACGAGTTCAGTGCGCGGGAACGGGAACGGGAACGGGAGAGAGAGAGGGAGAGGAGAGAAAGAGACAGAGAAGAGGTGCGCAGAGAGAGGGAGAGGGAGAGAGAGAAGCTGGAAAGGCTCGAGAGGGTGGAGAGGCAAGAGAGGGAAAGGACTAGGGAAATTAATAGTGATAATAATTGGAACGGCAATGCTTCCAGAAACTTGGGTGGAACTGTTCCTGAGTATAGAACTGCTGGAACTGGCGCTGTAGGTTATGAGACTAATGGAAATAATAATGATATTCCTGACTACCTCATGTAAGTTATTTTTTTTTTTTTTATGTATATTAATTTATAATTGCAAGCCTCAAGGGGTTACATGGGTTTCCTCCGGAAAAAAATGGCCTATTTTCAAAAATTTTTTTTTAATGGAAAAAATGAAATATTTTATTCAAACTTTTTACTGTTTTAAGGTTGTTTGGACACTAATGCACTTGTAAAGTTCAAAAGCTAATTTTTTGATATTTTATTAATTGCTATCTCATACGTCTAAATTTATTTTTTGGAATAGATCTGACGAAGGGTTATCCTTTGATAAATTATTAAAAGATTGAAATTTAACATGTAGCCTATCGAGACTATTGGCGGATTACATATATATATATTGATTTATGTGACTATCTCATAGGAAGATTAAAAAACAAAAAACTTCTATTTCAGTCAATAAACTTTCGTAGAATACGTTAAAAATAAAATAAAAATTTTCTGACGAAGGCTTTCAAAGATATTTTAATGCAAAAGACGAGAAATTCACGAAAATTTCAGGCTGACATATTTAAAAATAAGGAAAAAAAAATTAAAATTGGATTTTTGGCAGAGGTTTTTACAAAAAAAATTAAAAATTTGGCTAATATTTCGCGGCATTTTTTATTAAATAGTTGTAATTGAAAAAAAAAAAAAAAAAAAAACTTTCGTTCATGACCTTGTAAATTATATCTTGAAGATCTGTCTAGAATGTTTTTTTAAATTTATTAAAGATAGTAGTAGTTATTATTAAAAAATTGTATGACAATCGCTTAAGGCATGCACATTTAAATGAAATAAAAAAATTTAAATTATTATAAAATAATTTTCTTTTACAGGCAATATAAACCAGTTACTAACGTAGAACAAAGAAGAAAATACAAAGATGATTATTCGCGTGATCAACCAGAATACACCGAACTGTGTGCGCACAAATTGAATATAAAGAAGCATTTTGAAAAATTAAAAGAATTGAGGGCCATAGAATCGGCCCGTGGGAACCGCGAAAAAGAAGAGGTAATACTTTATATTTAAATTTACTTTAAATTCCCGCGCTGGAACATAAAGCTGCGCTAAATTCAGATCGGTGTAATTAATATCGAATTTTTTGATCAAATACACTCAAATTAACGCTTCAAAAAGCTTCATTTAATTTTTTATAGCTAAATAATTTCTGAAGTAACAAGAAAAAAATTTAAAAAGTCTAATTAATAGCACCAGTCAGGAACTAGCGCAGAATGTTCCAGGAACATAACCTAAATTTTAGATTTTTAATTATGTAGAACAGAAATCTGCGCTAACTTCAAACCGGTATTATTAATATCGAACTTTTTGATCATTTACACTTAAATTTACGCTTCAAAAAGCTTCATTTAAATTTTTATAGCTAAACAATTACTAAAGCAACAAGAAAAAAATTAAAAAAGTTAAATTAATAACCCGAGTCAGGAACTAGCGCAGAATGTTCCAGGAACATAACCTGAATTTTAGATTTTTAATTGTTTAGAACAGAAATCTGTGCTCACTTCAGGAACTAACACTGAATGTTCCAGGAACATTACCTAAATTTTAGATTTTTAATTTTTTAAAATAGAAAGCTGTGCTAACTTCAGACCGGTGTTATTAATATCGAACTTTTTTTTTATCAATTACACTTAAATTAACGCTTGAAAAAGCTTCATTTAATTTTTTATAGCTAAATAATTTCTTATCTAACCAGAAAAAAATGAAAAAACTTATATTAATAGCACCAGTCATGAACTAACGCTGAATGTTCCAGGAACATAAACTTAATATCTGATTTTTAATTGTCCAATATTATTTTCAGGAAATAAATTCCCAGATAATAGCGGATTACGATAAAATAAAGCACGATAGAGTTGAAATTGAAAAAGACCGTCGCTATAATTATTTGTTAGGTAAATTGAAATATATAAGAGGATTAATAAGCGATTTTGATCTCGGGTATTCAAAAGAGGAGAGGGAAAATTCAGATGCAATTGGTAGCAACAACAATAGCAGTAAAACTGGTGTGAGTACTACCGACTTACGATACTGACACAAGCTTAAATGCCCGTCAATTGTAATTAATAATAATTATTACTATTACTATTGCTATTACTATAATTATCTTTATTATAATATTGTTATACCGGTTGTAAAAACTATCGTTTACGTTATTGCTGATATGCATTTTAAAAAAACAATTTATTATTTAATTCAATTAAAATGTGATTATTATTACTATTATAATTATTACTATTATTTGTTACTCAGAGGTTAGTTGGTGATGCCATTTTACATTTAAACATTTTCCTGATTATAATAATAATAATTATATTTTAATTAATTATTTACACGCACGAAATAATTAACGGGGTTGTAATTAATTGATTATTCATCAATATATATTTATATATATTTCAAGTTATAAATTATAGTTCCATCCGTATCGATGCAATACTCAATAAATTGCGTCCAAGACTGTCCAAAGTAAATATATTAAATTTTTCTCTTCATAAATTTAATTATTTATTAATTAATTGAGATTTATCGGGACTATTTATTTCAGGTTTTTTTTCTTTAATTAAATTAACGTCCATATTATCAAGATAAATCTCTTAAATCATTTCTTATATCTTGTATTTCATATCAATCAATTTATCAATCAAACAATCGATTTTTTAAATAATAATAATAATAATTATGATAATATTTATTATTAATAAAATAGATCAAAATCTTATCTAAATTTTTTGTCAGTTTATGGAGAAATTTTTAATTATTCAGTGACGCTACTGTCTTTGTATATTAACATTAGTTATATTTTATTTATATAAATATATATATATATATATATATATATATATTAAATTTATTAATTATGCCAATTGTTAACTAAAAAAATTATTATTAATTTTTATTATTAATATTTTTTAAATTAATTATCGATATTAATTTCGATATTAATTCGCAAAATTAATTATTAATAATATTATTAATTTTTATTATTAAAATTATTTTTTAAAATTAATTTCAATATTAATTTGCAAAATTAATTATTAATATTAATTTCTAAAATTAATTGTCGATTTTAATTTCCAAAATTAATTATTAATATTAATTCCCAAAATTAATTATTAATATTATTATTATTAATTAATAATAATTTTTTTAGTCAAATTAATGTACATAATTGAAGTTATGTTTATAATTAATTATATTAATGTCACTATTAAATTAAACTGTAGCAATAATTTTATAAAAAATAATTGTTAAGAGATATCGAATATCTTCCTTGTAGTGCCAAAATTATTAATTAAAATTGTGCCTTCCTAATTTATTAATTTTTATTAAAATTTTAATTATTTACATTATTAAACAGAACTGTAGATTTTGTCCGAATTTTTTTGATAAAATACTCAGGTGCAATTTAAATACTCTAAATTTTACAGTAATACTAAAATAAAATTTTTTGCATGAAAATAATTATAATTTAATCGGAAAAATTGACCCAAAATCTAAAGTTCTAAAAATTTTCGACTGAACTTCCAATTTAATAATTTTTAATTCGATATTTCTTAACAATCCGCTGGATAAAAGTAGTCAAGCGCACAAAAATTAACTCCATAACGCTACATAAAAATTCACAGTATAACTTCTCAAAAAAAAAAAAAAAAAAATGTTAATAAAGAGACTAAAAACTATTAATTAAACTCGCTAGGGTTGTGCAAAGAAATTCCGAATTGTTTAACCTTAGAAAAAAAATAAAAAAAAAAAACTAGGGTAATATTAATGTTAATTTAAGTGTCACGGCACTATTTAAAGTCTATTAATAACATCAAAATTTTGTAACAATAGCCAGGTGTTATTAATAATAAAAGTGCTCAAATAGACAAAAATTATTTTTCCATTAGTCAATTTAACAAATTAATCCATTATATTTTATTAATTTTTAATTATATTGTTAGTTAAAAATTTTTATCTATTTATTTTTATTTGGTTGAAATTTAAGTTTTCTATTAATGTCAAAAAAATAATTTTTTTTCTTCCCAGCCAGTTAAATTCTTATTTCGGGGTGTCTTGAGATAAAAATAGTCGATGAAGTAAAAAAAAAATATTAATTAATTACCGATTAATCGCTAAAATTAATTATATTAATTTCATCGATTTTCTGGCGGGAAAAATAAAAATTCAAAATTGCGGCAAATATTTTTTTAACAAAGTGCCAATTGTAGTAAAGACTAACGACCATATATATAAAAATATGTAAAAATATATAGATATATATTATATATAAATATTTAAAAAAAAAATATTAATTACACAAAATTAAAAAAATTCTTTTTCTGTATTTTAAAAAATTATTTTTTCACAAGTAGATAAATTTTGGAGATACAGAAAATTTAAGTTCTTAAAATTACAGAACGTCCTTTTTGGCATAAATAATGATAAAGAAAAATAATAATTAATAATTAAAATATTTCGTCCTCTGATAATCAAATGTATCCTGTCCACAGTCATTTATTATGATAATTATTTATAAAAAAAAAAAAAAGGCATTTAAATCATGACAATTTTTAAAATAATTGTATAAAAGAAAAAACAATTTAGATTTATCCAGATATTCATGACATAAAGTCTTATTATAATTAATAATCAATAATTATTAAATAGCTGAATAATGTAAATACGCGGCCTTAAATGTAAAAAATTTTAATAATAATAATAATAATAATAATAATAATAATAATAATAATAATAATACATTATAAGGGAGTCAGTGTTAATAAACTCGACACTGATTAATTAAATTATTATATTTTATGACTGTGATTAATTTTTTTAATTTGATTATCAGGATTTACAAGCTCAATATTTTATTTGCACGTTATTGTTTAAGTTAACAGTACGCGTCACTGTTTTATTTTAAAAAATTATTATTTTTCCTTGTTTTCATTATTTATCAATTAAAAAAATATAAAAATGATACATACGATTAAAAAAGACTTGAAATTGCCTTATTTCTTTAATTAATTAATTATTATTAATAATTTATTATTTAATTATTAATGTAAAACATTTAACATTGTTAACTTGCCCTTTTGTTTATTATTTAAGTGCGTGTTACTATTAAAAGCATACTTTATATCAAATTTAATAGAATAAATTAAGGAAAATGTTTTGTATAATTAATTATAAAAAAAAAAAAAATTCAAAAAATAATTAAATATAGCAATAGGGTCATTGATAATTTATTAATTAATTAATTCAAAAAAATTTATAATCATTGATCCTAGATTGTAAAATAATTTATAAAAGTATATTAGGATGCTTTGTTAATTATTTTTTCTGGATTTGTCTATGTCGATTGTATTTTTTCCACGGCGCACGATTTTATTGTGATGATATTGGAGAGTGGGGGGCATAAGTTTAGGTTAAATCCCAGAGATGGAGCTACTAGGTAATTTAAAGAATTTTAATTGGCAGTATTGGAGTCCAGCGCCGTCTATTGGAGTTTTTCTGAAACATAAATATTTCAGATTTTACCATGCTGCTGAAATTAATAAGGTAGAAGTCCCAATTATTGACAGGGGCCTAAATATTGACACTCTAAATTATTTTTAAATATATTTAATCATCTGTAATAAGAATAATTATCATATAAATTTTTATTAACTTCTAATTAATTTAAAAAAATTACTGTCAGTTCAAAAAAAAAAAAAAAAAAAAAAAAAAATGTTAATAAAGAGACTAAAAACTATTAATTAAACTCGCTAGGGTTGTGCAAAGAAATTCCGAATTGTTTAACCTTAGAAAAAAAATAAAAAAAAAAAACTAGGGTAATATTAATGTTAATTTAAGTGTCACGGCACTATTTAAAGTCTATTAATAACATCAAAATTTTGTAACAATAGCCAGGTGTTATTAATAATAAAAGTGCTCAAATAGACAAAAATTATTTTTCCATTAGTCAATTTAACAAATTAATCCATTATATTTTATTAATTTTTAATTATATTGTTAGTTAAAAATTTTTATCTATTTATTTTTATTTGGTTGAAATTTAAGTTTTCTATTAATGTCAAAAAAATAATTTTTTTTCTTCCCAGCCAGTTAAATTCTTATTTCGGGGTGTCTTGAGATAAAAATAGTCGATGAAGTAAAAAAAAAATATTAATTAATTACCGATTAATCGCTAAAATTAATTATATTAATTTCATCGATTTTCTGGCGGGAAAAATAAAAATTCAAAATTGCGGCAAATATTTTTTTAACAAAGTGCCAATTGTAGTAAAGACTAACGACCATATATATAAAAATATGTAAAAATATATAGATATATATTATATATAAATATTTAAAAAAAAAAAAATATTAATTACACAAAATTAAAATTCTTTTTCTGTATTTTAAAAAATTATTTTTTCACAAGTAGATAAATTTTGGAGATACAGAAAATTTAAGTTCTTAAAATTACAGAACGTCCTTTTTGGCATAAATAATGATAAAGAAAAATAATAATTAATAATTAAAATATTTCGTCCTCTGATAATCAAATGTATCCTGTCCACAGTCATTTATTATGATAATTATTTATAAAAAAAAAAAGGCATTTAAATCATGACAATTTTTAAAATAATTGTATAAAAGAAAAAACAATTTAGATTTATCCAGATATTCATGACATAAAGTCTTATTATAATTAATAATCAATAATTATTAAATAGCTGAATAATGTAAATACGCGGCCTTAAATGTAAAAAATTTTAATAATAATAATAATAATAATAATAATAATAATAATAATAATAATAATACATTATAAGGGAGTCAGTGTTAATAAACTCGACACTGATTAATTAAATTATTATATTTTATGACTGTGATTAATTTTTTTAATTTGATTATCAGGATTTACAAGCTCAATATTTTATTTGCACGTTATTGTTTAAGTTAACAGTACGCGTCACTGTTTTATTTTAAAAAATTATTATTTTTCCTTGTTTTCATTATTTATCAATTAAAAAAATATAAAAATGATACATACGATTAAAAAAGACTTGAAATTGCCTTATTTCTTTAATTAATTAATTATTATTAATAATTTATTATTTAATTATTAATGTAAAACATTTAACATTGTTAACTTGCCCTTTTGTTTATTATTTAAGTGCGTGTTACTATTAAAAGCATACTTTATATCAAATTTAATAGAATAAATTAAGGAAAATGTTTTGTATAATTAATTATAAAAAAAAAAAAATTCAAAAAATAATTAAATATAGCAATAGGGTCATTGATAATTTATTAATTAATTAATTCAAAAAAATTTATAATCATTGATCCTAGATTGTAAAATAATTTATAAAAGTATATTAGGATGCTTTGTTAATTATTTTTTCTGGATTTGTCTATGTCGATTGTATTTTTTCCACGGCGCACGATTTTATTGTGATGATATTGGAGAGTGGGGGGCATAAGTTTAGGTTAAATCCCAGAGATGGAGCTACTAGGTAATTTAAAGAATTTTAATTGGCAGTATTGGAGTCCAGCGCCGTCTATTGGAGTTTTTCTGAAACATAAATATTTCAGATTTTACCATGCTGCTGAAATTAATAAGGTAGAAGTCCCAATTATTGACAGGGGCCTAAATATTGACACTCTAAATTATTTTTAAATATATTTAATCATCTGTAATAAGAATAATTATCATATAAATTTTTATTAACTTCTAATTAATTTAAAAAAATTACTGTCAGTTCAAAATATTAAATATTTTTTTTCATTAAAATTACTGATCATTATAAAATTTTTACTATAAATTTACTTTAAATTAGCTCAATAAAGTGATAAATTGATAAAAAAATGATTGTTGAGCAATTGTTGACAAAATGGCGGATAAAATCAAAATGGCTGCTTTGGCGGTAAATTTTTAAATCTATTTAACTACTAAGAAAAAAATCGTAAAATAAATTAACTGAAAACTGAAAATTTTTGTGTTGAACAAATTTAAGGAAAAAGCCCCAATTATTGACAGGGGCCTAAATATTGACACCTTAAATTATTTTTAAATATATTTAATTATCTGTAATAAGGATAACTATCACGTAAATTTTTATTAAATTCTAATTAAAATATTGAAAAAAATTTCTGTCAGTTCAAAATATTAAATATTAATTAATAAAAAATAATATTCATTTTACTTTAAAAAAAATCAAATCATAATTTTGTCTCTTAGTGTCAATAATTGGGGCTTTTACTTTATTATAATATTTAAAATACTTTCAACTTAGACGAATTTTCTAAGTTTTAAAAAATTTATAAAGCATTCTAGTGTAAAAAAAAAAAAAAATAAATGTATATATATTTATTAAAATATATGTATATTTAAAAATGACTCTTAAAAAAATGATGACGACTGCATTGCTCCCCTGACAAAGGCTCGTATATTCATTATATTAGTTAATATTGCAATTATTAATTATTATTATGATGATTATTATTATTAATTATATTATATATCAAAGAATGACAAAATAACAAAATAAAAAAAAATTATATAAATTTAAAAATGTAATAAAAAAAAGGGGTTTTTTTTTTTAATTAAAGTAAAATAATATAAAGAGAAAAGGCTTAATTATTTTTAAATTTTTTTAACAACGAATTATGAACGAATGAATTTATTGTTAGTACTTATTCGTTTATTTAAATTTTAAATGAATCTGGAAGTTAATTTTATAAATTTTGATAAGTTTGTTATTGATTTAAATGTCTGTTATATTAAATAAATAAATAAACTTGCCAGATTGTTTTAATGTACAATTTTCACAAAAAAATCCACAAGCCAATAATTAAAAATAAAATTATTTAAAAAAATAAAAAAAAAGAGAAAATATTTAGTATCTGTATAAATTATTTGTTCATATATATATATGGATATAAATTTATATATATATATATTTAATTATGTATGTAAATTTATATAAATTCATGTTTATATATGAATGAGTAATTGAAATAAAAAATGAAGTAAATAAATGAATTAGCTAACGAACGTTTTACAAAATGAATAAAAATATCGATGTATATATTTTAAGTTTGTATTATAATTATAATTCTCTCAACTTAATTTGTATGAAATGGAGAATATCATTAAAATGATGAACAAAAAAAAATTTATTGTTTTATTTATTTAATATAAAAAATCTTTTCCTGAAAAAAGTATTTTTAAGTCGTTTTAATATATTTTATATATATTACAAATATAAGAAATATCATATATATATATATATATATATCATATATATAAAATATATTGAAAAAAAAATTGATGTGGGTATTCAAATGAAAGGTCTTGGTGAGCTTAACATCAGGATGAGTTTATATCTAAAAAAATGTCAATAATAAATAAATGACGTTGTATTTTGTTTACTGATGACGTTTTTAAAGATATAAGCTCATCCTGATGTTACACTCATCAAGACCTTTCATTTGAGTACCCACATCAATTTTTCATATATTTATATATATTATATATATGTATATATGAAAAATATATGAAAATGCATGTGCGTACTCAAATGAAAGCTCTTGATGAGTGTAACATCGGGATGAGCTTATATCTCAAAAAATATCAATAATTAAGAAATGACCTTGTATCTTGTGAACGACTGACATTTTTAAAGATATAAGCCCATACTGATGTTACACTCATCAAGACCTTTCGTTTAAATACCCACATGATTTTTTTGATATATTTTATATATTTCACAAATATAAGAAATATCATATATATAAAATATATGAAAAAAATTGATGTGGGTACTCAAATAAAAGGTCTCGATGAGCGTAACATCAGGATGAGCTTATATCTTAAAAAATGTCAATAATCAAAAAAAGACGTTGTACTTTGTCCACTGATGATATTTTTTAAGATATAAGGTCATCCTAGAGTTACACTTATTGAGACCTTTCATTTGAGTACCCACATCAATTTTTCATATATTTTATATATTTATGTATATTATATATATTTATATATGAAAAATATATCAAAATGCATGTGGGTACTCAAATGAAAGCTCTTGATGAGCGTAACATCAGGATGAGCTTATATCTTAAAAAATATCAATAATAAAGAAATGACGTTGTAGTTTGTCCACTGATGATATTTTTAACTATGTATCAAATGATTTTAATTAATGAATTTTTCATAAAATTAATAATGAAAATAAATCAAACTGATAATTAAAAAAAAAAAATTGTGAAATTAAAATAATTAATTTTTTATTAAAAAAAAAAAAAAAAACCAAATTTTCAATAATAAAAACTTCTTACCATTTTATCAATTTTTATTTTCCGAGCCAGAATTTTTATTCTCGGTGTCAGTATAATCTTGCTTCCAAATAAACTCCCGCTGGTACCCGGAGATTAGACAGGACTTTTCACAAGTGTAAACAAGCAGCACTCCCCAGTCAATACTGTTTTCATTACTGCAGTTCAATTTATTTAACAACTGCGGCATTATTTGAAATTCGAACGTCCTCCGGCTGTTACAATTTTCACAGGGTGGAATTTCCTGCGGTTTGTTTTCTTTTGACACCAACAACGGATCTCCTCCCCGCTGATACCTGCCAAAAAAAAAATTGAATTTAATTTTTAATTTTTCTCTCTAAAATTTAATTTTAACTTAAATAAATAATTAAATTTCCTGCCTGAGAACTTGAGCAGGTCGTCGCTTGATCCTCTCTTTAAACTCCGTAAAAGCTTCATCATCATCCTCTTTAGCGGCTTCCTCCAACTGCTTGTCTTCAACATCCTGAAGACATCCAGCTTTTTTCTCCGCCATCATCTTCTTCAGCTTCTCCATTTCTTCTTTCTCTTTTTTTTCGTCATCATCATCATCATCATTGTCTTCATCAGCAGGTTCATCCTCGCTCTCTATTTCGTACTCGGGGAATAAAAAGCCCTTATAAGTTTCTTCTTCTTCTTCTTCTTCTTCTTCTTCTTCTTCTTCTTGGTCTGGACTCTTATTCTTACTTTTAGCTTTTATTTCTTCCTTCAAGCCCAAATCTGCTAATTTAGCGCAAACTTTGTCGTGTCCAGCCTTCCAGTCAACGACTTGATGTCTGCGACAGCAGTAATTTGCCTGCTGGCACTTTTTACAGTGACTTGGAGCTTTTATATTACAAACTCTGCATACTTTAGTCCAATAAGATACATCTAAAGAAAAAGTAAGTATTTTTATTATTAAAAAAAATTAAATAATTAACTTTATTTTTTATTAATAAATTAGGGTAAATGCACCAATTATTGACCGATTAAGGTTTTCTTTTTCTGTACTAAGCTATAAAAAATCTATTAATCTACTAAAAACAATTTCTAATGGATTTTATTAAAGTTAAATACTTAATTAATAATAATTAATAACTATTTATAATAAAAATTAACAAAATTATATTAATTTTGTTATTTGAATCTTGAAATACTAAAATCACCAATTATTGACCGAAGAAACCCAATAAATGACCGAGCGTTCTCCAATTAATTCACCGCTCAGATAATTATAAGTAATTTTGTAAACTACATTTATGTAATTAAATTTATGCAGTACTTTTGAAGTATTAATGACATCTTTAACAAAACTAAACATATAATATAATTTTAAATCGTACTTTTTTATAAAATAATATCAATAATTAACATAAAGTCACATTTCTTTAGGTCACAAATAATCACAAATTTATTTTGATGACGATAATTCTTCTGATTCACTTGAAATTTTTTTATTCTTCTCCTTCTTTTTTTTAATTAAAGCTTTTTTACTAGCTTGTAACTCTTTTTTTATTTTTTTAATTGCTTAGCAATTTTTTCTTTTAATAATTCGTTCTTTGATATAACTGTTCACTAAAAAAATTAGAATAAAATAAAATTTAATAATCAAAAAAGATTTTAATTATTATTTTAATTATAAATATACATTTTATAATGATTGTTTTTATATTTACAAAATATTGAATGATTAAAGTACTTTAAGCACTTGACAGATTTAATTTTGGAGTTAAGAAGTTAGTATTATAAATATACGGTCATTAATTGGATTGTGATAAAATCAGAGGGTCTAATAAATGACCGAATGAATTTTTGACTGGGCAAAAGGCTTCTGATGGATCCAATAGTTGACCGGTCTTAAAATAATATTGAAACTTATAATTTAACTTTATTTTTTCAAAAAAGTTGGAATCTGATCTTTAATTAACATAATAAAACTAAAATATTTTATATTATGCCGATAAATATCACTAAATTAATGATGAAATGCACTCACTCTCCAATTGTACGCTAGTTATTTTTGACCGCTTTATGGCTAGTTGCGTTGTAAACAAACTCAGAATATTTTTTTAAAGCTATAATCACTGCGCAATTAATTGCGTAATTTTTTATTATGATGATTAAATGCCTTCTTTTTTTTTTTTATTTTAATACTTTAAGAAAAAAAAAACCCTTGTAAAATATTAATTAATTTTTTATACATCGGTCAACTAATTGGTGACCGGTGAACAACTGGTGCATTTACCCTTATCATTTTTTCAATTAAGAAAAAATTTTTAAAATTTTTAATGTCAGCTAATTTAATTTCTATAACATTGACATACTTGATTTTTCAGGTGGATCATCTTCATCAGGATCAAGAGGCTCCAGCGGATAAAATTCATTAACATGCGGCACCTGGGACCTGAAGACTCTCAGATTGTCATTGGAGTTCGGTCTACAGCACGCGCCTTTTCTGCAGATGAAGACGAACAGGCTCCGGTGAAACGCCTGAGGATTCTGTTCATCCGATGCATAAATTTGGCACAAGAATATGCAGGGTTCCTTGCAGTGCCCGCATGCAACGTCCTCGGCATTTGGAATGTTTTTCAGATCCAGCCACGCGGGTTTTCCTCCGATTTTCATCACCGGTAAGTAGCAACTTTTTAAAAGCCATGGCTCGCTTTCTTCTGCAAATCCTAGAGTTACACTCATTTTTTTTTATTAATTATTATTATTGTATTGTATTTATATTTATGTTTTTATTATTACTGTGCACTCTAAATTTTAGGTTGGAAGTCCTTTTCAAAACACGTGGAGCAACTTTTTTATTTTTACACAAGATGGCGCTGTGTGTTTAAAAATGGCCGCGGATTTTAACGAAATAATAATTTTAAAATTAAAATTAATTAAAAAGTTTATTTAATAATTTTAATTATAAAATAAAAATTTAATTGTAATTAAAATTTTTTTCAAAACTTATGAATACTAAAATTATTCATTTTTTCTATAAAATTAATACTTAAATATAAATATTTAAAAAAAAAATTTTTTTTATTTATTGCATAATTTTTTCTTACCAGTTTAAGTTTTACAATAATTTATTAACATAAAAATTCTAACATAAAACAATATTTACAACTATTCATTATATACTAACTAAGCTTTCCTGATTAAAAATTAAACTTAATATAATACTGTCTTACTTAATATTTTAAAATGATTTCAGGAATGTTCCTTACCCGAGAAAAAATATTTATATATAATTATATATATTTATATATAAATTGGTTATATATGATTATATATGAAAAATGGCCAAATATAATCATATCTAATTATATATAATTATGTATAATTATATATAACTATATATAATTATATATAACAATATTTAATTATAGATTTATTACATCTAATTAATTATTGGGTTAATTTTATGGATAGAGTATTTAATATGGTCCTACGCAATTCTGTATAACTGATCAAAATGCAAAAAAAATATCTAGAACTAATTTTATGGCTATAACACCAGTGGTCACCCATCCAACTATTAACCCTACTCAATCAAAGAAAAAATTTTTATGTATGTTAATTATATATAAGCATATATAATTATATATGGGACTATGTACAATCTTGCATAGCTGTATATTGCTCCATATATAGTCATATATAATTATATATGATTATAAATAACCTCATATACAATTCCATATATAATCATGTATAATTATATATAATTATATATGCTTATATATAATTAACATACATAAAAATTTTTTCTGTGAAAAAAAAATTTTTTTTGGTAATCACAAAAAGGGTAAAATGATGTTTATAATTACGTTTAAATAATTCTGAAATACAAAATTTGTCACATTTCCTATGAAATGTTTTTTCTGCTCTGCTACTACGTAATAGTGAAATCATTATTTATTTTATTATTTAAATAAGTATTATATTATAATGAAATTCGGTAAGATAAATAAATTATGAATAATGACTATCCAAATATATTATAAAATCAATTTTTATATTATATATATGATAAACTCATATGATACATTAAGTAGATCACAGAATCATTATTGTCTAAGACAGCAGCACAGCAGACAGAAACTTCAAGACGCACGAA